GCTTAAGGGTTTTGGGTTCAGGGTTTGAGGGTTTTGGGTTCAGGGTTTGAGGGTTTTGGGTTCAGGGTTTCAGGGTTTTGGGTTCAGGGTTTGAGGGTTTTGGGTTCAGGGTTTCACGGTTTTGGGTTCAGGGTTTCAGGGTTTTGGGTTCAGGGTTTGAGGGCTTTGGGGTTCAGGGTTTGTTTTGGGTTGAGGGTTTGAGGGCTTTGGGTTGAGGGTTTGAGGGCTTTGGGGTTCAGGGTTTAAAGGTTTTTGGGTTCAGGGTTTGAGGGCTTTGGGTTCAGGGTTTGAGGGTTATGGGTTCAGGGTTTGAGGGTTCTTGGGTGCAGGGTTTGAGGGCTTTGGGTTCAGGGTTTGAAGGTCTTCGGTTGAAGGTTTGAGGGTTTTGGGTTCACAGTTTGAGGTCTTAGGGGTTCAGGGTTTTAGGTTGGCTTTGGATTTCTCTACAACACCACTGCATGGCAATAGAATTCGAATTTAACTCACGCGTGCTAAGTACTGTATGGTAATATAATTCGAATTTAATCCCCGCGCGCTAATGACTGTGTGGCAATATAATTCGAATTTAATCCCCGCGCGCTAATGACGGTCACTCACTCACTCACTGATACGCAGCTCCGAATCGGGCTGAGCGTTGCTCAACCTGTGAGAAAAATTGCAGCCGCCGCTCTGATTACAGAGACTGAAAGGGCTGTCACGGAAACTGAAAGAAATTTAGGAGGCTAGGCTACACCGTTGCCGCTTGAGGTAGTGTCTTCGTGTCCCACGGGCTTTACAAGGGGTTCAGGGAAAAGGAAATGATAGGCAACTGGGGCTAATGGCGTCGCATTCGGTGACCTATTCGGTGACATATTCGGTGACATATTCGGTGACATCTTGGGTGACCTATCCGATGAGATGGTCGCTGGGAGAAAAATCTGGGATCTTGTTGGTAGCGTTTCTGCTACGTATTCGATGACATATTCGATGAAGTCTTCGCTGACTTGCTGATGGTCATATTAATAAGTAACACTCAGCTATACCTACCTGGTTCAGGTTTTCAGCTATTTTTTGGTTTGAAAGGGGGGTTCACGGCGATTGGCTGCATCTGCTATTTCGTTCCAATGCGCAGTGATAGAGGCATCGAAGTGCGCTTCAGGATGTAGAAAAGCATACGCTTCCTCAAAGGTGTTCAGTAACCAATTTGCCCTTGGTTTGCCAACTCGACGTACATGCACGCTTCTAGGAATGTTTTGTCGTGGTTGAAAAAGTATTTCACGCATTGGGTCGTCATGTGGTGCTCTTAGAATATGGCCTAACAAGGTAAGTTTTTTCTGCATCCACTTTGCTGAAAGTTGGACATATTTGTATTTATGTGAACGCCATAAAGTGTCTATGATTCTTTGGTTCGTCCAACTTCTGTCGACGTGAGTGGGCGGTATGTTTAGAACGCGTCGAAACATTTTGAGCTGAAAAGCGTTAATTTGGTTTTGCTCACGCTGTGTGAGTTGGATGGTTTCCAAGCCGTAAGTCAACTTGTTAAGGACAATGGATTCCATCACTCTTAGTTTCCATTTTACAGTCGTGCGGGCTTTTGACCAGAACAGGTTTAGCTGCTTCGCAACTGCTGTGGCTTCTCCCATTCTTCGGATAACTTCTTGATGATTGTCTATGGCATCTGTTAGAACTGCTCCAAGATATTTTGCCTGGGTTTTTCTCGGAACGGCCGTACCGTCCATAAATTTGATAGAGGACTGCTTGCGATTTATGGTGAGATTAATGCATTTATCGAAATTGAGCTTCATATTGTAGTTAGCTGATTCAGTCTGTATTTGTCGCAAAAGCTTGTTAATTGTATGGGTGTGCGTACCGAACAGTAATGTGTCGTCTGCATATAGGACTTCTGCGTAGTTTATGCCTGGTATAGGCTGTAGCTGCTTTGGCGTGTTTAAGACTGTCTTGATGTCCTGGAAAATTGCAGTCATTAGAACTCCAAAAAGGTACGGTGATAAGGGGCATCCTTGTCGAATACCTGAATTTTGTATCTGATAATCGGAGCGGACGTTGCCTTTCACTACTCTAAACTTTGCTTGTTCATATATGTTTTGGATAAGGCAGATTATACGTTGGGGTATGCATAGCCGTGCCAAAACTTCAACAAGTTTGTCCTGGTCTACTTTATCAAACGCCTTCTCCCAATCTAACAGTACCAACGTGAGATTTGTTCCTTGCCTTTCTGCCATATCCATAAGCCTTCTTGCAATGAACAACGCTTGCGATGTTGACTTCTTTTTGCGGAATCCATATTGGGTTTTTGATATCCACGGCTCTAGCGCAGGTTCCAAGCGGTTTTTAACTAGGGCTGCCAGTATTTTGTAAAACGTTTGCAAGAGTGCAATTGGGCGGTAGTTTTCCAATTTTGCTGGGTCTCCTTTTTTGTAAATGGAAGCAATGTTGGACAAGTTTAGAGAGGCCGGGTAGGTGCCCTTTAGCAGTATTTCATTGAAGTGCACTAACAATTTTGCTCTGTTGTCGTTGTGCAACCATTTTATTAGCTCTGAGGTAACCTCGTCAGGACCCGGACTCTTGTTACTTTTAAGCCGTTTGATCACTGCGTTAAGTTCTTCAAGTTCAAAAGCGGACTGGTTAACTGCTGCGCCGACCTCTGAGAGAGAAGTGTTCTTTTGTTCGTGCGCAGTTTCTGGTTTTTTCCATTGCACACTACTCAGGTATTCTGCTGCCGCCGCAGGAAAGCTGCTTTCAGGAATTGGGTTGCCGTCCTTATCTTTGAATTTTGTATGTCTCGGGAAGAATTTTTTCTTCATTTGCTTCAAGCCTTGCCACTTATACCCTTGCTTATCCATCTCTTCTAGTTGTTGCAGCATACTCTTTCTTTGTCCTTGGCGAATTTGTTTTCTCAGTTGCTTTTCAAGATCCTTGGCAGTTTCCGTACTTCCTGCATGGTTGTGTTGACGCTTTTTGCTTAAAAGGTCCCAGGCCTCTGCTGAGATGTAGGCTTTCCTTTGCGCTGGAGGAAACATCGTAAATGCATTGTTAGCTGCTTCATGCAAGATATCGGCCCAAAGCTTTAATGGGTCGTCTGTAGCTTGGGGCACTCTGTCCTGAACTAGTTCTGCAACCTGCATGTTGTATTTATGAATTTGATTTTGCGTGGGAGGTCTGTATTTTGGTCGTTTTGTTGTTTCCGCGTAGCGCCGCTTTGCAAGTTTCACACGCAGATTAGCAACTAAAAGCTTATGGTCTGTTGTAATTGGGTGAAAGCAACTAGATTCAACGTTGGTTATCGCGTTTTTCCATCTTGAGTTGATTAGTACAAAATCCAACTGAGCAAAACGTGATGTCGTGAAAGGTTCCGAAAAGTTGGGAGTTGTGGTATTGCGATACGTTACAAGTTTCGCAGGATCCTTCTGAAAAAGTGTATTTGCAGCGACGAGGTGATTGTCTTGACACATTGAGATAAAACGTTCCCTATTGTCTTGCTGTTGTTCAGTTAGTAGGTCTATGCTATCTTCGTGCGTGCCGAAAATATGTTCGCCTAAGATCGTTTCTTCGTGTGGAAGTCTTTCCATAAGTCTGACATTGAAGTCGCCAATTGTCAAAATAATGTCATGTTTCGGTAACTTACCCAGAGCGTCGTTTAACTTATCATAGAAATCGTCCTTTTCCCTTTGGGGACGAAGCGCATGCGGAGCATAGGCAACAATAATGTGGGTGCAGAGTGGTCGTGTGTCGAAAGTTGCGACTAGAAGTCGTCCATCTATCTGCTGTATATTCTTCTTGTAATGCCGAAGTTTGTCACTGTACACTAACCCAACTCCATGTTTCTCCGCATCCAGATTGTAGAGCTGTATTTCGGACAGACCTGTGTTTGCACATTGCTTGTGTTGTTCTCTTTTCTGCTCTGCGAACACTTTGGTCTCATGAGAAACTCCTGATGAGAAGTAAAAAGTGTAATCATCATGTTCTTCCTTTGAACAGTGGTTCACCCTTGTTTCTTGCAAAGCTAGAATCTCGATGTGGCTTTCTTTCATTAGATGCACTATTTTTTGCCTGCCGGAAATGTGTGTAATCCCTCCTCCTAGATTTAATGTAGCCATCCTCATGTTCGACCACTTCAGTCTTTCATGAGTTTGAGTATTTTGTGTCATGGGCTGATCTGATTGAATTTTGGTACTTTCGGTAGAGCATTCTTGAGCTACTTGATAAGAGTTATACTGCGTAGCCTCAACAGTATAACACTTCCTCAACTTACGGTATTCTTTGCGCCTTTCTTGTCTTCGCTGCTTTCGGTTGGCTTTTCGTATGATCTCAGCAATGGGAGACCTTTTGTAAATTCGCCCAGTAGAGTTTGCTTTTTCTGTGTTTTTGCTGGTTTCCGGTTGAGACTTCGGGTCTGTCACCTTTTCGTTCCCACTGCTCGTTGAGCTGCGGGGCTCCCGCCACTCCATGGGGGGGAAGGTGTAAGCAATGTCATTTGTCACACGCTGGAAAGCTTGTTTGGCTCGTCCATAAATACCTTTGTTTTTGTAACTGTTTCGTGTGTTGTTACAGTTGTCAAGCTTTTTGAAAGAGAGAGGCCTAATGCTGGCAACTGGCACTTTTGATGGCATCTTCGCAGACGCATGCATCCGCAACATTTTGTTCCTCTCAACGTACATTGATGACATCTCTGACATATTCGATGACATATTCGGTGACATATTCGCTGACTTATTCGGTGATATATTCGATGACATATTCGCTGATCTAACCCCCACTGTCTTATTGTCGCTAAGGTCCAAAGGTATTTGCGCTGTGCGATAGAAAGTGTTCGGACCCTGTCTGGGGGAAATCTTCTTCCGTATGTTAAGAGTGTTAACAAAAGGATCCCAGATGTACTTGCAACCCCGAGCTTGGAGCCCTTTAATGTTACAGTAGGGAGGCTTAGGGGACTTGGAACGTTCGCTAGGGCGGCAGCGGTGGCTGTTAAGCCGGTGAGACCTAGCGCCTTGGGCAGCTAGTCAACTCCAACGGGTCAGCAATTTGTACAAGTGCTCATTGTATGTCTTGACGAACTCGGTTGTGGCCAAAGATAGCACTTCTATGCGGAACGGGAGCTCGCTCTTCATGGCTCGCTCGACTGTCGTGCTGTAAGCATTCCGCTTTCCTTTTCCCTCACTCTTTGCGAGCCCAATCTGTTCCATAAAGGATCCTTCCGGATTCACAACGTCGTCTCTTGACAAGTTGCCAACAGTGGCCAGGGTTTTGCTCTTGCTTTTTCCCCAACCTTTCCGGGACGTCCAAGCGAACTCTTGGGCTGTGATCGCCTGTCTGAAGGCCCTTTTGTCAAACAACTCTTCGTTGATATATATCACACATCTCCCATGAAGATGGTCTAAAGCACACCAAGCGAGATATGTCTCCACTTGCCCGGCTGCATCCGGGATGAACACTGTGTTGTGGGCCCAGTCCTTTTTCCATGTAAGATCTGGTCGCAACTCAGAGATCACAGTCATGACCAACTTGAGCGGGATGCTTTGGACTTTGTCAAACGTACTGATCATGGGCTCAAAAACCAGCGTCCCATTCACGCCGGTTTTGTTGTAGCGGTCTGACCTCATAGCACCGATTTCCGTTTGGAGTGTGGAATCAACCCATTCCTTTACTTTGTTGGCGTACTGCCCTTTCATGTGTTCCAGAAACAGCTGGCGGGTTCGAGAGTCACCTGTGTCTACCACACAAAAGGGACTCAGATTTCTGCCAACGTAGTTGGAGTACTTGAAGGACTTGATTTTGCCATCCACTATGCCGGCCTCTTTTGCGTAGAACTCAATCAGAGATTGCCGATGCGATTCCATGGCAAAGTAATCTCGGCTGCCTTGCAACTCATATTTCCACCAATTCTTGATGGAGATCTTGGTGCTGGCTTCTTGCCTTTGACGTTCTGCACATTGCCAAATCAAAAATCGTACCTGCGCTTGTTGCTGATTGAAATCGTCCGTCATATCCTTGAGGTCATGTAGCACATCACCGATTCGTTTTGAAGGCGAATCTTGGAGCAACTCTTCATCCAGGTTGCGTTGGCGCATTGACTCTTCACTCTTGGATCTTTTGGTGTCTCTACCAGGCGGCGGTGTGTATAGCGATTGCCTTTTGAAACGTGGATCATCCTCGTCCATTGCTAACCCTTCTTTGACATTTGCTCGACCCTGAGTGGCTAAGTGATTGTGAGTGTGAGTGTGAGTGTGAGTGTGAGTGTGTGTGTGTGTGTGTGTGTGTCTGTGTGTGTCTGTCTGTGTGTGTCTGTCTGTGTGTGTCTGTCTGTGTGTGTCTGTCTGTGTGTGTCTCTCTGTGTGTGTCTGTCTGTGTGTGTCTCTCTGTGTGTGTCTCTCTGTGTGTGTCTCTCTGTGTGTGTCTCTGTGTGTGTGTGTGTGTCTCTGTGTGTGTCTCTGTGTGTGTGTGTGTGTCTCTGTGTGTGTGTGTGTGTCTGTCTGTCTCTGTCTCTGTCTCTGTCTCTGTCTCTGTCTGTGTCTTGTTCTGTGTCTGTGTCTGTGTCTGTGTGTGTGTCTCTGAGTGTGTGTGTGTGTGTGTGTGTGTGTGTCTGTGTGTGTGTGTGTGTGTCTCTCTGTGTGTCTCTCTGTCCGTGTGTGTCTCTGTCTGTGTGTCTCTCTGTCTGTGTGTCTCTCTGTGTGTCTCTCTGTGTGTCTCTGTGTGTCTCTGTGTGTCTCCGTCTCTCTCTGTGTGTCTCTGTGCCTCTGTGCCTCTGTGCCTTCGTGCCTTCGTGCCTCCGTGCCTCTGTTCCTCTGCTCGTGTCTGTGTGTGTGTGTGTGGTTCTGAGTGTCTGTGTGTGTGTGTGTCTGTGTTGGTGTGGGGTTGGTGTGTGTTATGTGTGTGTGTGTGTGTTCTGTGTGTTGTGTTTGTGTTGTGTTGTGTGGGCTGTGTGGTTGTTGTGTGGTCTGTGTGTGGTGTGTGTGTGTTCATGTGTTGGTGTGTGTGTGTGTATGTGTGTGTGTGTGGTCGGGTGTGTGTGTCCTGTGGTTATGTGGTCTGTGTCTGTGTTGTGTTGTGTTGTGTGTGTGTGTGTGTGTGTGTCGTGTGTGTCGTGTGTGTCGTGTGTGTGTGTCGTGTGTGTCGTGTGTCGTGTGTGTGTGTGTGTCGGTGTCGTGTGTGTCGTGTGTGTCGTGTGTGTGTGTGTGTGTGTGTCTCGTGTGTGTGTGTGTGTGTCTCGTGTGTGCGTGTGTGTGTGTGTGTCTCGCGTGTGTCTCGTGTGTGTGTGTGTGTGTCTCGTGTGTGTCTCGTGTGTGTGTGTGTGTCTCTGTAGGTGTCTCTGTGGTGTCTCTGTGTGTGTCTCTGTGTGTTTCTCTGTGTTTGTCTCGGTGTTGTCCTGTGTGTGTCTCTGTGTGTGTCCTGTGTGTGTCTCTGTGTGTGTGTCTCTGGTGTGTGTCTCTGTGTGTGTGTCTCTCTGTGTGTGTCTCTGTGTGTGTGTCTCTGTGTGTGTGTCTCTGTGTGTGTGTCTCTGTGTGTGTGTCTCTGTGTGTGTGTCTCTGTGTGTGTGTGTCTCTGTGTGTGTGTCTCTGTGTGTGCGTCTCTGTGTGTGTGTCTCTGTGTGTGTCTCTGTGCGTGTCTGTGTGTGTGTGTGTGTGTCTCTGTGTGTGTCTCTGTGTGTGTCTGTGTGTGTGTGTGACAGTTGCAGTGTGTGCAAGCCCAAGCTCTATGACATTGTACGACCTTGAGTCCTTGAGGATTGAGCAGATTCTTGGCTTCACTCTGAGCTTCGAAGGGGTTCGAACGTCGAAATGCCCTACGTCCCGCGTACCCCCCTACCCGCCCGCCGAATACAAGAGTCGCTTGAAAAGCTCAGGTCTGTTTGCCACCAGCTGTGGGAATGTGTGGTGCGTTTGCTCTTTCTGTCTTGCCCTGAGGCGGCAACGCGGATGTTGCAGCCGTGGCCAGACGAGAGTCCGAAATCTGACGGCACCATGGGGTTCTGAAGCTTGCGCCTTGGACCGTGATCCCGTCACAGTCGACGCCTTCGCGAAGCGTCGCCTCTGGCCTTTGGCTTCGACATGCTGCTCCCACCTGCGTCCCGCGCGCAGTCCTCGCGCTGCCGCCCCGGTGCCGTGCGGCTGCTCCTCGCGGAGTGCCCTGTCCTGGCTGTCCTGGCCTTGGACTTTGGGCAGGGCCTTGGAGCGCCCCCTGCTGAGCGATGGGTGACACTTGCGCCTCGTGAGATGTACTGTTTTGGCTCGGACCGTACCCCTGTCGAGTGCTTGAATGACACTTGCCCTTTAAACAACCTAAACCCCACCAAAGCACTGAGACTCTTAGACTCGTTCTACGAGAGCACGTTCCCGCTGGGGCCTGACCGGCTGGACTGCTCTGCACGAAGGCCTGGGCATGGAAACATGCAAAACTCATCTCTCTTTTCCGCCTTTTCCTCCCTTGTTCATGCCTACATGACATCCATACCCACCCCGTCACGATAACACTTTGCTGCCTTTCCTCTTCACACCACTTCGCACCTGCAAACCCTGAACCACAACCCCGGCGAGCTTCATCAAGTTGCAACGGCGTTGCTGCATCTTGCTGCCCAAGCTGCCCTAGAGGCCAACGTGGCCGCCGCACCAGCGGCGACAGCCATGGCAGTCTTCTGGCCTTTGCCGGGTTCAGGTTGTTTCAGGGTTTGGTGAGTGCCAGTGTTCGGTTAAACCAGGTACTTGGGAGATCCGAACTGGCTTTCGTCGGTTGCGACTCTTGCGACATGTTCTGACCCTGGGATCAAGGTGCCGTTTCAGCCACTGAAAACCGCCCCAAAAGGGGGCGTGCAGGTCCTCGATCTTCTTTCGCGAAGAGCAAAGCCGGGTAAGGCGTTGGGATCATTTCGAAGGGGAGGAGGGGGCTCCCTGGTGGCGGTGCTCCTGCTACAAGCATCTGCAACACGACAGACACCCCGTCACCCCAAACGGCCCCAAGCTCGCGCAATCTGGAGGCCCCCCGCTTGAGGGCATGGTTGCAGATGTTGCAGCGACTGGAGGAAAATCTAAGGTACCAGTCAGAATCTGCAAGGGCCACACAAAGCCTGCGGCGGAGCACGGTGCATCAAGCGTCTGCGCCTAGCTTCCTAGGCCTTGCGCGCTCCGTTCTGCAAAGTTCGAGCGATAAATCAAGCAAGTTCTCTGTGTGACCCCTGCGGGAGAAGCCCTCCGAGTAACCCAGGTACAACAGTCTTACCCTCTTTTCGGGGTAGCTGAGGGACCTGACTGCCATCTTCGAAGACATGCGAAAGGTACAGAGAGTGCATGGAGAGAGAGACGGAAAGAGAGAGCGAGACAGGGAGACAGAGAGAGAGAGATGCTACTCCAGCACAGTTTTTTTTGCCCTCGGCAAAGCCCTCTCCATGAGTCTTTGAGTCTGTGGGATGTGACACGGTGCAGTCGATGTCAGTCGACATCCATGTTCTGAGGATTGTCGTGAACCTGAAAGGTGTAATGAGTCTCATGATGTCTCATGCCAAACCATGTCAAACAATGTCATCCCTTCGACAAAAGGGCAAGAGGGAAAGGGGCCTCCTGCGGCTCGTCGCCCTTGGCTTGCTCCGGCTCCTCTACAGATGAACGTGCAGCAAAGCTTTGCTGGAGCTCTAGAGAGCTGCTTCTAAGTTCAGGTTTGATATGGGCATCTTTTGGCATATGTAGGCTCGGAAGGACGAAGCGATGTGGGGGGGGGTGCCTCCTCCTTGCTCTCGTCCTCGGCGCCGTCCTCCTCCATGTTGGCCTCGGCGTGGACGTCCTCGCCGTTTTGACCCTTCTCGGCTTTGTCGCCTTTGTCGCCCTTCTCCTGCAATTTCAGCGTGTTGCGCTTCTTGTGGCTCTTCCGAAGCTCGCGAAAAGCAACGCGCACCACTGGTTTGACCCTGGGCAGAACACAAGACACAGCCGCGCCCCCCCCCCCCCCCAACAATACAAAACAGAATCCCGAGAACGTCACGCCTTCCTGGCCCTCTTCTCCTTGGGCTCCCTGATCTCCTCATCTCAAATCTCTTACATCTCAAACTTTCACGGTATCAAAGGGAATCCTTGCTCAGGCTTCTGCTGTGGCATTTGCCTGCTGCTTAGGGTTTAGGGCTTAAGGCTTAGGGTTTAGGCCCTAAACTTTAGGGTTTAGGGTTTGGGGTTTAGCGATTCCCCTTGCTCCTTGGGCTCTTTCAAGATGTCGTCACAGAGCTTGGCAAGCTCCTTGCAAGATGGGACTTGACAGCAAAAACCGAAGCCAGTTACAGAGCGTTGATTTACAGCGGCCGCGAAAAATATGCCTCTTTGTTGTTTCTTGTTTGTACGTGATATTGTTGCTCATTCATCGGCTTTCGGTACAAAGTCCTGTACCTGCGAGCATACGGAATTTACGTCCAGCAAAACTAACCTTGGATTTCCTCACCTTGCCAAGAGGGATTCCGACATGTTTATGAGTTGCAAAAAGCTCGCGTTTCCCAGCGGAAAACGCAGACTTCTTGTCTGGACACACAAGCGCTCGGAAATCGGGATTGCCATCATGTTCCCAAGAGGGAACCCTCATGGTCTGTCGCGTGTTGGGAATTTCAGGGTTACCTTGTATTTCCGACAATAAAGCCCAATATTTTTACTCTAGGCAGAAAAGAAGCCCGTGTTTCCGGAGGCTTCTTTCAGAGGTTCCCTTCGGGTTTTGATTCAGAATGGTTTGGTCATGAGTTATCTCACAACAAGGTGGAAGATACGGATGTCCTATGAACAAGTCCAACAAGCATGGAATTTCTACATGATTCCAAGCACCGTTTGCTGTTCAGAAGCATACTGGAGGTCCGCAGCGGCTGAGGCAGTCGTAGGTGCAAAATGCAACTCATTTCATCTGGGTGATTTTCCCCTTCTTCGGCTACAAGGGAATCAGAAGTTGTAAACCACATCTGAAGCCAACCCTTTAAAACACCATGTAAAACTGTCTTATGTGGGAAATCATTGCCCAACCAATGTAAACCACATCGATCCAATACTTGCCACTATCCTCTCACACTCGAAAAGAAACATTGCCCGCGATCGTGCTTCCTTCTCAAAGGTCGGGGCGCTGCTCTCTTCGTTGTTGAACCCTAAACCCTAAACCCTAAACCTGAAAAGCACAGCTTGCCTCGGCCTTGGCTGTGGGCGCCAGGGGTGCCCACGGGTCCCATGGCGACCCCTCTTTCTCCGCATCCGAGTCGAGTGGTGTCGCCCCCCAGCATGGGAAGAAGTACTTAGAGAGATTGAAGCTATCTCCCTGCCACGCTTGGCGCACGTATGGAAGACTGAAGTACGTGACCCTTGCTTCTTACATCAATCAGTACGATAATCTTGCTATGGTCATTAGTTCAGGTGTGATTCCCCTAAACCCGAAACCCTAAACCCTAAACCCTAAACCCTAAACGCTAACGGTCACTGCTGGAACATGTACGGTGATTCCGGAGATTGTGCTGGTGAGTCCTGTTGTGGCTACTGAGTAGCGGCTACTGCTGCGCTTCCGGCAAGAACTTAAGGAAACGTCATTTTATATGTTTTCCAACAAGCACACCCTTCTTCTCTGCAAGCTTGCCACAAAAGCAGGCTTTCCTTTCCAATCCCAGACGAACAAGGAACCCACACTACAAAGCAAACGAACACAAATCACAATCGCACAACACAGAAAAAAGACCTCCGTTTGGATTGCCCGAGCCGTATCTCTTTCAAAGCTGCTTGGTGCTGCCTTGGGGGGGGGGGTAGAGTCCCCTCCCCACACATCCAAAAGCCAACAAAGCCAATGAAACCAAGACACACGAAAGAAGAAAGCAACGAGGAGACGAAACAATCAGAAGCCAGACCGCGCAAATCAAACCAGAAAGCTAAGCTTAGAACTAAAAATTGAGCAGGGAGCAAATTGGACATCTCAGAAAAGACAGCAAGAAGCCGAAGGGCGAGCAGCCAACACAAGCCGTAACTGTTGAAGCCAGGGAGCGCTCCGCCCCCCCAAAAACAAACACGAAAATCCATCGGACTTCCAAAGATAAAAAAAGATCGTTTGTTCCAAGGTGGTGCTGCCTGGTCTCCATGTACACGTGCACGGTCCTGATTCCTCTTGTCCATCTCTCCAGTGGTCAGCACGGGCTTCTGGTGCTTCGGGAGGCCATCCTGCGGTCTAGTGCCTTGAGGTTTTCTTAGGGCTTAGGGCTTCGGGCTTAGGGCTTAGGGCTGAGGGTCACCATGATAATGGACCCCCAAAACACCCAACAGAGCCTGCTGCGTCTTCTTCTCCTGAAGCCAGGTCTCCAGCCTCGAACGCCCCCCCGCCGCATCTCTAGAGAGGTGTTGGGGGGTTTAGGGTTTAGGGTTGAGGGTGTTTAGGGTTTTCAGGGCTCAGGGTTCATGGTTCAGGGTTCAGGGTTTGGTAGGGTTTCGACCTGGATCACACTCCCCACAAGGGAATTTGAAAGCTCGAAACTCTCTTCGCAGATGGCTTGCTGTCACCCTTGCTGCAACCGTTTAGGGTTCAGGGCTTATACACCCTAAACCTTAAGGGTTTAGGGCTTCGGGTTGAAGAGTCTTCGAGGTCTCTGGGCGCTCCCACTCCGTGCAAGCTGAGAGGATCTTCTCCAGCTTGGCGGCTGCAATGTGACCGTACCTGTGGAAAGATAGGGGCACCCTCGTTTCTTTGATGTGGTTTTGCCTCTTGTCGTTTCTTTCGTTTCTGTTTCATTTTTTTTGGGGGGGTGGGGATCCCAGGGAAGCTTTGAGGGGGATTCCATTGTACTCGGGGCACAAACACATTTGCTGGAACCCTAAACACGAAACCCCAAGCTCTAAGCCGTAAACCCTGAACGGGTGACAGGCAGACGGGTCTGGGCGGAGAGCACTTCTCGCCGGGGTTCTGGGCCACCTTGCGGTAGTTCCTGGCATGAGCCCTTCCAAGGGCTTAGGGCTTAGGGCTTGGGGCTTAGGGCTTAGGGCTTAGGGCTTAGGGCTTAGGGCTTAGGGCTTGGTGCTTTGGGTTTAGGGTTTAGGTAGGGTTCAAGGATGTTTAGGGCGTGGCATCTACGCCCCAGACCCTACACCCGACACAAGAAGACCGACTGCAGCTTCATTCCTGAGCACTAAACCCCGAAAACCCCCCGACAAAACATGGGTGGGCGTACATGGGGGTTTCCGACAAATAGGGGTGCCTGGTCCTTATGATAAAGGAATCCTACGACGTGGGGGACTCTATTTGGGGGTCCCCTGATTTTCGTAAAACCCCCGGAAATTGGCGTTCTGATCTATTCCCGGCTCTGCTCCTGTCTAGTAAAGCAAGTAAGAAGCAAGCCGTAGCCGCCCGATGGTCCCCAGCAGCGCGGTGACCCACTCCTCGCGCGTGCCGAACTCCTGAAGGGGATGAGTCAAGTGGTTGAAACCGACACCGAAACTTACAAGAATTAACCTCACAAAGGCAGCGTTCGGGTAGTTTGCGAAAGGGGGGTCCATATTTTCCGGGTGCAGTACTATATAGGGTTCCCCAGAATAGACCCTAATTGAGAGAAGTGCCCAATAAACACAACACAAGCAACAATCACCCGCAACCGTATTCACATGATGCCGTATTCCATCCGCAGTCATACGACTACGATTGCACCCTGCAAGCATCAAGGTCAGCGAGTTGTTGCGGCTCTAGCCTTGGAAGCGACCCAGCTGGAACATGTGACAGCGCATGGCAAGGTCAGGGCGTCTGAACCACACCGGTAGGATAAAACGTAAAGCCGCCTGCTGGCAGAAATTAAGAGATGTTTGGGGGGGCATGCATGCCTTTTTCATCAGGGGAGCCGAGGGTGCGCGCCTTGTGCCGGCGCTGGATCGGGTCTCCGACACCTCCGGCGCTCGCAAACTCGAACTAAGTCGTCATTGAGAGGAACAACCAAGAGGGTTTTGGGTTTAGGGTTTGGGTCTAGGGCTTTAGGGTTTAGGGCTTTAGGCTTTAGGGTTTAGGGTTTAGGGTTTAGGGTTTAGGGTTTAGGGTTTGAAAGGCCCAAAAGCAGGAGGCCTCTCAGCTCGTCCAGCTTATCGATGTACTGGATCTGTTCAAGGATCGGAGGGCTCAAGGATGCAAGGGCTCACCAGCAGAAGGGGCCTTGGTCGCGTCGAAGTTGTCATAGAGCCAGTCCTGCAAACACCCCGTGGGGCGGGGGGGGGGTCGTGTTTAAGAAAGACATTGATCCATGGAGGCAAAGTTGCACCCACCCCGTCCCCGTGGCCTCCGCCTTTTGCAGGCTTTCAAGGAAAGGCGCCAGGTCGGATGGCACCACGAAGTCTGCCCACCTCGCCATCCCAGATCCACTTGGGGGGGGGTGGGGGAGGGGGGCACTTTGCACACCTTTCGGGTCCTCAAAGGAGCTCACGCAAAAACACCGAGGCGCCAACTCGCCCTGGACCTCAGGGCTTGTGTGTTGTAGGCACAGCGAAGGAGCGCACATCTCACGGCCTTGTTGCGCGTGGTGAAGATGTAGCTCTCGAGGTCGTTTCTCCTACAGGATTCAGACGAAAGCGAAGTCTCGAGTCCTGGGCAGCGGGTCTCCTCTCGTCCGTTTCAATGATCTCGCGCATGTCCGCCTGTGACAACACTGATGACATCACATGGCGCCTGAACTGCATCAGACGTGCTGCTCAGAGTCTCAGAGCATGCCCGTGAAAGGCGCTGCCACATGGAGGAACATGCTGCAAGGCCCACCTGCATTGCCGTCTCCTCATCCTGACCTTAACTTCTCCAACGCAGGGCCAACGAATGAAATTCTCTCATGCTTGCACTTGTAGTGACAGTCGAAGGCGATTGCGGATTGCCATACGATGATCTTGGGATCAATATTTTGCTCAACGTGCAGGTCTATCAAAGCAGAAGCTCAAGAAAGTTAGTTGGGCGGCTTGGCCGTCCAAGTCCGCTGACAGAGCATGTCTTTCAAAATCACATACTCGCCCCACAACAGCACACCAAATTCGACATGACAAATGTTGCCTCGGCTTCCGGTCGAGAGGCGTGTGTGGAACAAGCAGACCACGACCTGGCCCCTTCCCAACCCTTTCACCCGCAAAATCTCCACCGCCCCCCCCTCCTCTGTCACCTGAGCTGCTTGAAGGAGACTCAATCCGATGTGTCCGGTGCTTCCAGGCTTTGGGCCTTGTCCGAACACCCGGGACCCCCCTGCGCCCGTCCATCCGGGACTGGAACTGCACCGAAGTCTGCGCTCCAGGAACTGCACCCCGCATGTGGCCGGCGCGGCTGCCGAGGCAGCGCGCGCAAGCGTTTACAGTTAAGTAAATATGAGCCTGTGTAAATTGGTTCTTTTCAATGACATGCTGGATTCTCCAAGCCTCCATCTGCCACGCAAGCGCATGCACAAAACACGATGCAGTCTGTCGGTTGACTCCGTAGGCACTGCAAGAATTCTGTGCCAATCCACCCTTCCAACTGCACGGCTTCACCCAGTTGACACCTGAAGCAAAGCCCAAGGAGGCCGGCGTTTCTGCATCATCTCATCAGACAGGCCTGGTAGGGTTCGGGATGGCCCTGATGCCAACGCGAGTGTGAGACTGCGGATACTGTGGGAACACTGCGGGGACTGCAGCCACGGGTCCAGGTCATGAGGTGCTACACACACACACACACACTCGGGAGCTAAGAACTCCAGTGAAACCCCAAAACAAGGGAACCTCAGGCACCCCAGACATGCAGCCCTCGCAACATCCCTACAGCGGCCAGACACACCCTCACGCAAGCCCCGCCTGGTTTTCCGGACACGGAGATTTGCAGGTCTGTCCCTTAGACTTCGAACTCTGAAGAGGTGAGTCAAGCTGAGAGTGCTTTCAACGATGCGGATCAACAAGAACCAGGTCTGAACAGGTCTGGTCGTGGCATGCACAGCGGCTGCCCGCAACGATTCTAAGAACAAAATCCCATGTTCTCGCCCCCTCTCACACCACAACCGACAAGAACCTACTCAGCGCCTCCATCTTGGGTGGAAAGCTCTGCGGATCTCACTCTGGGGTTGTCGGCGTCTGAGGCGCTTCCTCTTCTTCACCACGCTTACCCACTCGTAGCGCGGCTCCTGGCAAGGGTTTCGAGCCTGGCACCCTAAACCCTCTTAAGTCTTCAGGGCTTAGGGTTTCACATCAAGCCTAAACCCTAAAAACCCCCAAACCCTAAACCCCAAACCCTCAGCCCAAACAATAAACTCACTTGGCTTGGGAGGCTCAGGAGTTCGGGGAGCCAGTTGGAAGTGCTAGGAGGTGTCATATGAGGGGGTAGGCCGGGCTCATGTATCTGGGGGAGGGGGTTAAGCAGGATTCAGCAACTTTGACTCTGTTTCCAGGCGCCGAATTTCTGGAAAGGTCTCTTCGCTTTGGACCTTCTGCTCCGCGGCGCTTCAGGCACTGCGGGTGGGCGGGCCTTCTTCTCAGGCTCCGCAGGCTTGTCCTCGCACGCGCGCGAGACGTACACTAGGGCGCCACTTTGGGCTTAAAAGCTCATCTGAGGCACTTCCATGTAATCCAAACCTAAATTTTTTGAGCTCTAACGTGCAAAGAGCAAACCCCTACCGAGCCTCCTTGGCATCCACCTGAGCAAAGCGGGCACTTTCTCCGCAGAAACTCCGAGGGCTTGGAACTCCAAACCCCCTCAAAACCGCGCTTGCGGTTCAAAGAGATCCCCCCCCAAGAGGCTCCCAACTTTAAACCCCCTGAAACCCTATGAGACCCGCAACTCGCTCCCTTTGCCTCCATGGGAGTTTCCTCCTCCTGCGGGGTTTCGGACTTCAGGCTCAATTCAAGGGCTTTGGTTGAGGTTGCAACAAACTGCGTGTGGGGCTTCGTGAATACATGAATGCAAACCAGAAGGGGCTCTCACAAACAGCGATTGCTGGAAGAATTCTCAAGGGGAGCTCCAACATATAATCGATGCTCAGCCTTTTGCCTTCCCAGACACTTGGGCTCCTCGGCTTTCTTCTCCTCATCCTTGGGCTTGTCCTGGTCCTCAAAATTGCCCACCGCCCACGTCCCCCCCCCCATCTCCCCAACACGTAGCGCAAGAGGATGCCAGGGGGAGGCTACAGATTGAGGAGCCTTCCGAAGCCCGGTATGAGCTTTCACTGCCGGGCCGCTACAAGTGCAACGTCTACTGTGCTCAAAGCCCCACACTTTTTTGGGTTGTATGTATATACACACACATTTTTTGTTCAACCCTATAAACCCTAGAAATACATATACATACATATACATACATATATATATATATACACATATATACATATATGTGTATACATATATGTATATATACACCCTATGACCAAATGCGTGGCCGAGCCTCTTCCTTGGGCGCATCTCCATTCGTCGGCTCTGCCTTCGGCTCCTTCCAGCGGCGCGCGCGCCACGCATTAGGGGTTTAGGGTTTGCAGGGTTTATAGGGTTTATAGGGTTACTAGGGTTATTAGGGTTATTAGGGTTTATAGAGTTTATAGGGTTAATAGGGTTAATAGGGTTAATCGGGTTATTAGGGTTATTAGGGTTATTAGGGTTTATGAGGTTTATATGTAGGGTTTATAGGGATGCAATACATTTGCTTATAGGGTTTGTAGTGTTTGCAGGGCTTATAGGGTGTATAGGGTTTATAGGGTTCAGGGTTCAGGTGGAAAGATTGGGGTTTGGGGGCTCGGGGGTTTCTGGGGGTTTGGGCGACCGACACGAGGGACAAAGCTTGACAGCGCCACACACAATGAAACCCCCTACAAAAACAAGCCCCCCTAAGCACAAGACTAGGACACCCCCCCCCCCAAAGAGCAGGGGGGGGAGAGGATGAGAGGAAAGGAGGAGGAGGAGGAGGAGGAGGCGAGGAGGCGCAAAATTGCAGAGGGCTGCGGGCCTCGGCCTTGGCCTCCTCTTTGGGCTCCTCAGCCATGGGCTCCTCGGCCTTCGGCTTTTGGGGCTCCTCAGCCTTCGGCTCCATGGCCTCCTCCTCCTCCTGAGGGCTGAACGGAGGGCTGAAAGGAGGCCTCTGAGGCTTCCGCCCCTGCTATCCCCATGGGCCTCTGGGAGCTCGCGCCACTCCTGACACGAGCTGGAAAAAGAGGGAAAACCCTAAACCCTGAACCCTAAGCCTTTAAAAGACGGGGGAAAACATTGATGTGCTTCTCTCAGCTTCATGGGCATCGCAGGGCCTTGACAGTCTCTTCGTACTCTTCTTCTTCGACTATCTGGGCAGCGTCGATGAGGAAGGTGCCGTGCATGCCTCGGGAAGACGCAAGTCACTTCCCGAGGAAGATATTTGCCATGATTCGTTTGCGGTTATGAATATGATTGGCTGTGACCGGAGAGTCTTGTCGCACCACCACTTGGTATGCGTGGCCACAGATTAGTTCAGTTCTGAGCTGGACACTGAGCTTTGCCTTCACTTTGACCTGTCGCACGTGTCTATTTCGCGAAAACCATGTGCAACCTGATTTAGAATGTCGAATTTTGCAACTTGGGAAGGACACCAAATGAATGCATTGCCAACCATGCGATGCCAGCCCTTGAAAAACCTCTCCCAGCACTTGGCAGATACCAACCCTCTTTTGTAAAGGGCCCCTCCGACCTCCGTTAAGCCACAGGAATTTGAAAGACCTCACAGACCCAAGGCTCGGAGCGCTGTTTTCCCGGCTGCCTTGCCTTCTTGGCCTCCGTCTGTGCTGGCACGTCCACCTGTTTGAAGAAAAAAGGGAAGAGGCAGCTCTGGCGCGGCGCACAAGGCCTCGGACATCCCACGACTAGCTTCTCAGAACAATTCCAAGAACAGCTCAGAAAGGCAGGGGGAGCACCTACTCTCTCTCCTTGAGAAACCCCCCTCCAAAAAAAGAGCGGAAAGGGCAGAAAGGTCGGAATCGGCCTGGTAGGTGCCCAGGCCACGCTCCGTGCCGGGAGGCAGTGGGGCCTCCGGCAGGAACTCCGCCTGCCCGACGTCTGCCGAAAAAAGGCTCAAAACTTGGGATGTTCCCCCCCATACTAGCAGTCCTTAGTAGGGATTGTAACAGGGGGGCTATATACAGAACTGTTGGTACATGGGGGAACAAACATCCCAAGCGAGACTTCTCTCAAGTCTATGGCGAAAAGAAGTGTCGAGAGACCGCTGAAGCGTTTGGCGCTGAAGATGTGTGCTTGGCAAAAGCACGCCTGGAGCTTGAAGGGCCCAGTCCTCCAGGAACAGATCTTGCAAGGTCTTTTTCGGGGGGGGAGCCAAACAAAACTCCGAAGACTACAAGGCATCCTTTGCAGGCCTTGACAGGTTGAAGGCGTCTCAGCTTCTAAGCCGAAGATTCTAAAAAAAGGGGGGGAGCACTACCCAGCGGGGGCTGAGGATGGCTTCAGGCGTCCCTCGGGTGTCCTGTAGAAGCTGAGCATCTTCACCTCCAGCACCGGTGACGAAACATGCGGGGGATCCGTCCATCCCGAACCCTGAACCCTGAACCCTAAACCCTAAACCCCAAACCCTAAACCCTACTTCCTAGCTTCCTAGCTGCAGTGCGCCTTGCAACCGAAGTCGTCACACCAACTTGCTTCAGCCGTCAGTCGCGTGACCCTCTAACAAGTTAGGTCATCACCCATCCTTCTCGAGGCCCGAACCATGTCCATTGCTGAGCCAGCAGGAAAGAGGGGCATCATCCTGCAAGGCGGCTCTACATGACAGGCTACGGTCTCTCCTGAGTCTCCATGATGCAAGAAGTCTTCCTGTATGCCTTATCGTTCTCGAACTTCTCGAAGACCCAAGCAAAAGAGTGTCATGTTTCGAACAATCCGGCGCCCCCCCCCCCCCCAGTTTCGACCCTGGGCCTTCCGAGCTCCGCCGTGGCGCCGTCCGTCCTGGGAACAACAACGTACTACTTTCTGTGCCTTTGAGACAACATGTTCACAACATGTCTTGCATTTCATTACTGCACTTCTGTGCCCCCAGGCCATCGAAGCCCGACGCCGAAGGGCGAGACGTCCTGGCGCGCTCCGACTGCGCTGGGCTGCAGAAGACACACGGAAGATCACGGGAGCGCACGCCTTGACCTCGAAGTCCCGGACCTTCGAAGGCGCAACAAGGCGCCCCAAAAGGGGAAGCGGAGGAAGCGGAGGATCCCCCAGCCTTGTACAGCGGCGACAACATCGCCGCCTGCCACACTGAGATTACACCGAAAATCCCTCTTCGATTGATCTACCTGATCTGCAAACATCCTCGATGTTTCGATACACCCTGACACGAAAGACATTGTAATCCAACGTCGCCCCCCCTTCCCTTTCGAGCATTTTTCGGGGTGTCGGCGTGCCATGGTTCTCCCCAAAACCCACCATCTCCTTCTCTTCCCATTTCTTCTTTCGAGCGCATGAAAAAACTAACAACCCCCAAGGGGTGCTCTCAACTGCTGGAAGGACCGCCCGAGCCATAGCGCTGGTGTCGTACAAAAGGATTCCCCGCCTTTCCCCAAGAAGCAACAATTCACATTTGTGGCCAATTTGCGGCATCCCCAACGCAGAGCGGACAAACTACGAATTGCTTCGGTAAAGGCGACGCGGGTCGCGCATCATTAAGAATATGCCTTAGACTACACCTCCTTGAGAAGCCTCTCAAGAAAGCCAAGGCCAAGACACCCCCAAAACCTTTCCCTAAAACCTTTCGAGTACAGGGCACATATAAACATACCCCCAAGCCGCCTGGAGGGCGCAGCCCCTGGCCACACTCTCCTCCTGCGAGATTCATGTACTTTGCTGTGAGGGGGCACCGTCATGAAGTCCGCTCCTGGTTCATGGTGGTGGAGAGGTCCTGAAATGTAGGGTTTTTGCTGCGCCCAACAGAGTTGCACAGTCGGCATCACACCCAGCCTTGCCAAAAGCCTGGGAGCACAGGCGCTTGACCCATGGAACGCGGGACCTTGCTTGCGCGCGGGAGCGAAAGATTGGCTGAACCACTCTGAGGGTAGTTACATGGTCCCTCAGTATGGGCCTTTAAAAGGGGACCCCTTATGTCCCGCAGTATGGGCCTTTAAAAGGGGACCCCTTATAAACCCCATTATACTTATACCCTTAGAACCACTAGTCACGTGCCAATCACCGTCTTAACGTCTTAGGCCGTCTGCCCGCCGCCCACCATCTCGACGCTGTCGATTTGGCTGAGCCTTCGTTCAGAGCTCTTGAGGTCTACACCCTAAACCTAAACCCTAAACACCGCAAAGGCGGGGAGGAGTACAAAGGAGCATATCCCGGTTGAGGCCCCGGCTCCAGCTGGGCGGACTCAATCGCACCCTGCAGCACCGCCTTCTCACGGAAGATATGGCTCTGTCAGTGGAAAAACATATGGCTCTCCTAGTTGAAAGATGTGGGGGCCAAAATATGGGCAAAACTCGCCCTCTGCTGCACTCCTTGACTCGGTCCATCATGGGAGAGCACATCTTCTCGAAGTCCTCGCGCGTCATCTGGCCTCGGAGAATCTCACAGTGACTACAAGCCCCGGCCTCGCGGGGTTTGACTACAACCCCCCAGCCGGTTCTCTTAGTGTCTCCGTTTTGTCGCCTACAGTAAAGCAAGGGGGAGGTGAGCAGAGGTGACGAGTGAGCTGCGCTATGTTTGCCCTTCGCTCGTGGGCTCCTCAGTTCTTCAGTTCAAGCGGCTGTGGAAATCCTCGTCCTCCATGAGGCACCTCGGCACCGACGCAGCACAAGAGCTTGAAGGCTTATGTGGTTGCAAGTGGCTTTAGGAGCACATTAATGCCTGCAATGTCTACAAGCATGACTCAACAGAAATTCTAAGCCAACTTTTCTCAAGAAGTAAATAGCAGGGCTGTCAAGTCTCCGGCTCAACAGAGAGGTTCGCCTCACTGTTGGCAGAGAGAATCTTCTTCGTCTTGGTGACGGCCTCGGTAAGGGAAGCCCGACGGTGGCTCGGGGCATTTGAGGCTCTGTCTCTGTTCACCGTGTTTTCAAGACGTACGATGCTTCTTCTCGTGTATTTTCTGATGCAGGGGTTGAGTCCTCACACCACTCTACCCACTCTGAAGAGAGAGTCTGAGAACGTCCGGAGTCAACTCACGAGTGAAGCGCTGGCCCACATCCTCCCTAGGATTCCCGTGTTCCTGGGATGCTGGCATCCTCCAGTTTGAAGGACGCCTGAAGAATCACAAGCAGCATATATCTGCAATATCAGACAGGTCATGCAACGTGCCTAAGCCCTGACTCCCTGAACCCTGAAACCAAAAGGCACCCTTTAAAGCCTGGCCTTCTTGTTGCTCAGCGGATCGCAGCCCACCTGCAAGCGAGGCACCATGGGAAATTGAAGTGGGGTTATTGCTGACATCCTTTAGACGGACGCCCCCTTTTGCACCTTCACCAGAATTTTCGACTTGCTAAAGGTTGCAAAAGTTAAAGGCCCCTATATGCACGCACGATGACCATAATGGAAACCCTGGCTCACACCACACCCACACGGGGCACCTTCTTCTTGAATTGGGCTGCGAACTCTCGCATGAGGCACTCATCCATGTCACGTCCGCCCACCTGTGTTGAGGGCTTAGCGTTTGGAGTGCTGGGGGGATCCTTGGATTGGGGTTTAGGGTTTAGGGTTTAGGGCTTAGGGTACCCCAAACCCTAAACCCTAAACCTGGAAGCAGAATGAAAAGGGATGGCATCCTCCCTCCCACTCTCGGCTGGGATGCTGCGCGCGCTGCCGAAGCCGCGCCTTGTCGGACTTCTCGCTGATGACGCGGAGCTTCCCGCGCACCTCGGGGGCGCAGTTTGGGGCCGGCAGGGCAAGCAACCAAAAGAAGCCGCACCAAGGACACTTTGGGTTTGTCAGATCACAACGAGTTCATCCCGGGTCTCCCGCAAACTGGACGATGCTCACCGAAAAAATGGAGTGGCCCATAGAGCAGAACCTCAATGACACGACAGGTCCCTCAGTAAACTGCAAGCAGCAGCGCAACGATGTCCAGTTAGGGCTTAGGGCTGGTAGAAGATGGGGGTAAGCTTAAATGCTCCAAGAATGCTGCACAGCCCCTACAGGTGGCTGCCACCGGCTGCCCATGAAGGTAAAAAGACTTGAACCCAAAAACCCCAAAACCCCAAAAACGCCAACGGAAGGGTGCAGAAATGGTGCTTAAAAGATGTGCCGAATTGTGCACCCAGGGCTTCGGGCGCGACGGTCATGGGCTGCTCCGGGTCGAAGTCGTTGGATCGGTAGATCCCGTACGCCAAGGCCGTCGCCTCTCTTTTGGGGGGGACGCAAGGCTTCTTGGGGATCTTTAAATTCAGATTCTTTAGGGATTTCCTTCAGGTGCTTGATCCTCTCCCTCTGGACAGGGCCTTGGGTGGGCCTTTAGAACTTTCGAGGGTTGCGGAGGGAAGCTTCGGCTTGCCAGGGCTTCAAAGTGGTGACACCCTCACCGAAGGCCCTTCTGAATGGATGCACCCCTGGACAGCTCGCAACCCTAGACCCCAGACCCTCCCCCCCGCGGCCGTATGCTCGTTCATCACGCGCAGCACGGAAAGCCCTGCGATGCGCGCTGCATCTTGCACGGCCTTCAGGTTGACTGGGGGGGGGGCAACTTTTAGGCTAAAGAGGCTGCCATTGGCGAGGGTTCCATTTCTTCGGGCTTCCAGGTTTCTTCTCTTTTTGTTTGTATTCTTCATGAAGGTTCAGACTCGATCGTGGCACGGCTTAAGCCGTCGTTCTGCATGTTGGGAGCACCTGATTGACCAGCAGCTTTTCCTGAGTCCGCGCTTGATTAATCGGGCCTGCCGCTGCGTATCAGAGAAGGAGGACGGCACAGCAATCACCACGTCCTGCACCTGGAAACTTGGTGGCGTTACCCCGGCAAAGCACCTTCATCATTGATCAAATGCCAGGCAATACCCCTCACTGCCCCATGTCGCACCTTCGCCTGGCACCACTTTTCGGTGTTCTCCTGGCTCAACGCTGCATGCTGCATGAGAATAGGCTCAGGCCCCTAAAAAAAAGGTGAAATCTCAGAAATCTGTCCTTGAGGTGCGTAAGGTACATTGCCGTGCATTGCGTGGCCTCTGCACACTAGACGCGACTTCCAAAATGCATTCTGAAAGCCTTCCTGAATCTCTCTTTGCACGAACTGAACAGCCAGCATCAGCCAGCTCAGCATGGTGCCATCATTTGCCTGGCGTCGCCTTCGAGTCTATTGCCCCAAGGACATCGCAGCAGAACATCCGAGAAAACTCCGGCACCGGCCGGTGGCTCACAGCGCGCCTTTGTAGCTGACGCTGTACCCAGCGAAGCCATCCTCGCAGGTCGTCAGCTCCGAGGTCGACCAGAACTTCTCGATCTCCCTGGCACAGTCTGATATTGTCAGTCGCTCGCAGGCACTCTTCGGCTCTGTGCAGCGGAGGCAACCCCTACCGCACAGCAACGCGCACAGTGGGGAGCGCACACGTCCGGCGCATCCAGCTTGCGACCCAACCTCGGGAGCAGTGGGTGTCCAGTCCGTGGCACCGCCCACAGACTTTGAAGCTTCCCTTGTTCTCTCGTTCTGCTCATGTTTGTCTGCCGGCTTTGTTTGCATGCAGTGAGCATGATCCCCGAAAAAGTCGCGCCGAGGGGTGAGCTGGTGCATGTGATGCCCCTCCCACGTTGGTCAGTCGTTTGGGCTATGGACTATTGAGTAAAGGATTGAGACGCGAGGGTGTGAGCATCTGCGAGCCAACTGCGTCGGCTGTGCTCTGACCTTTAGGATCCTCCCAGGGCGTGAAACATGGGTTTCATCCGTCACGGGGTAAAGAACAGACACCTGGTGGTAAGAGAGATGTGTCCCTTGGCATTCCCACCGGAGTAGAGGATCCATGTTCTCGCTCGTCTCTTTCTTTCTTTATTTCTTCTGGTGTTTTTTTCTTTCTTTCCTTCCTTCTTTCTTTCTTTCTTCCTTTCTTTCTCTCTCTCTCTCTCTCTCCGTCCCTCCCTCCCTCTCCCTCCCTCCCACTCTCTCTCTTTCTCTCTCTCCCTCTCTCTCTCTCTCTCTCTCTCTCTCTTTCTGTCTGGGTCGCCCGCAGGTGCTTGAAGCCCCGGCAGGTGTTCTTGGCGTTTGACCGGATCTGGGCCAGCGCCGCATCGCCTCGGGGGGTGACGGCCAAGCGTAAGACCACTGCTCTCCGCACGAAATGCATCTGCAACGCACACTGCAACGCCACACGCGCGCCTAAAAGGCGCTCTCTGTCTGTAAAGCCCACCAAAGTGGAAGTGGCTCGCTTGGACACCTGGGGCACATTGGGGCACTCCACATGGCGGCATTGACTCCACTCTGCTGGCTCGGGCAACGTTGGGGCCGAGCGCCTCGTTCTGCACAATGTCCACGATACCCTTGCCAACGTATGCAACATATGACCTCAGAAAGAACGACCCTTTTCCCGCCATGAGCCATTAAGCATGTCGTAGGCACTGGAGGAAACATCCATGTCTACGTCCTTCTTCCTACGATCTGCTTCGCACACGAGCACGAGTCCAGGAGGCAACGCCATGATGCAGAAACGGACCCAATCGCCACGATTGGCTCCATCTCGGAGAGCTGAATCAGGTCTAAGTGCCCTACTCGCTTGCCCCCAAGTCAATGCCACATACCACCGGCTTGGCCGCCTGCAGCGCCCCCAAAAAAAAACATGGAGATGCCGCAAAACGGTGTCTCAACACAATGAGATGGGCTGGGGAGGGAAGCGGCCGTGACTGCCAAAAGCTTGCGAGGCGCACACCAGAAAATGTCCCAGGTCTTACGCAATAGACCGAGGGAGGTGCGTGCTGAAACCGGCCGAGGCTCGAAAAGAAAACCTGAAGATTGCTAGAGATTATGGGGTGACCACGTCCAAGCTCCCGGCCACCATGGCGGATGGCAACGCAGCCTCAGGGAAGGAAGCCGCACTTGGAGGCTCAAGAAAGGCCTTTGAGGCGACCTAAAACCTCCTCAGGCTCCGGCTGCTAGCCTCCGATCTGTGCTCAGAGGCCACAAAATGCCGCATGACCAAAAAATCCCCCCCAAAAAAAACCCACAGAGAGCTGCTAGTTGTGTTGTGGCTGAGTCGGTGCAGTAACCGAGATTTTTGACAAAGAATAACCAAGTAACTACTCTAAGTTTGTCAACCCACAATCGACCCAAACTCGCAAAGACATGAACATGAGGCCCAGCAAAGGCAGAATCTAACCCCAAAGGCCGCAAACCTGTCACAAGCTGAGCCAAGGCAGGGATGAAGGCACAAAAGTCTCCACAACTTTGAAACCGAAGCTTTCTTGCAACCTGGGCTCAAGGAACTCGACCCACCCCAGGGTTTCAATGCTTTCACGCCGGAATGAAGTTTCAGGCAACCACATAAACATGTGCCTTGCTAAGTATATGTTATATATATATATGTGTTTCTTAATGAAGTTGTAACCGGCCATACACATCAATCTCAACGAGATTCAATCTTCAAAAATTGAGTAGGGAAAAGTATATAAAGGCAAGTGGGCTCCACGTGAATTAGCGCTGGGGCGTGCAACATGGCAACCGAAGTCGAAGTACGTGCAACAAAGGAGACAAGTTCCAGCCAACAAGCACACGGAGAACATGCGCACACCTCGCCGGTGGTGTGACAATGTGGGTTTTGCCAGGAAAATGGACTTCAAACATCCGTCCCTGCTATGTCCCACTTGTGACTTTCTTTCAAGCGATCTGGCCGTACCATCTGTTGCTGCAATGTCTATCGGCATCCGCGCGCTTTTCTCTTGAATCTTTAAAACTGCCTGCCGCACAGTTCTCCAAAGTTGGAGCCAATGAAAGATCCTTTCATGAAAACGACGTGAAACCGTGTGAAATTGAACCCCTGGATCCATCTGTGAACATATCCTCAGGTATCATTCAATGCCGGGAAAAGGGATGCCAAAGGTGACTGCCTCAAGCTCCATGCCACTTTGGACCTGCCCCTCAATACCCTTTCGGCTTTCTCGGTTTTCCCAACTCATGCAAGTCCGCATGAAGACCAGCAGGACCAGATTAAAAGCCATCAGCCCAAAAAACATCGCGACTTCGTCGATCGGCGGAAGGCCGCAGGTTGTCTTAGCAATGGTCAAACCCAACAGGCCGTAGATGGTCATCTCAAGGTACCTGAAGGGCAGTAGCCCGTAGATGTAGAAAGTCCTCCAGCACGTGTCCTTCATTCGTGACTTGGCCTGTGCCGGGCGCAGGCAATCTCCGAGGCTGCTCAATGGCACCAGGATTCCACCCACTATGCCACTCAAGAATCCAATGCATGGGCTCCCTTCCACCTTCCAGGATACCACAAATGCCACTAGCAGGAAGAGCACGGCCAGTGGGATCCCGATAGGCCGCACGGCTCTCGAAAACGCGAAGGCATAGCCAGCAGCTCGCAGCAGCTGGTCGCTGGCGAGGAAGGCGCCGAAGGCGACTTTCTGCCTGAACCGCGGGAAGAACCTCTCAAACCGGGGTGCTGCTGCGGCCCAAAACTTCGTTAGTCCCACGCTTAAAGACACCGCAGATGTCAGCACCGAAGTCACCCTGAATAGATCCCTATGGACGCTCACGGTGAGAAGGAATACGTAGGACTGCAAGTACAGCTGCGGCGTGCACTCGAGCATCTTGACGGCGATGTCTCGCACCAAGATGGCCTCACGACCATCCTCATGCTGATCTCTACCAGAGATGGCATTGCAGAGATCGACGAGGTAGCTCAGCTGGAACATGGACGCCAAGAAGAGGGCGCACTGCCGCACAGGGCCACCAGCACGTGCACCGGAGGAATAGAAATAAGCCGAGATGCTTGTGGAGACCAGCAGGATGGCGGCAGAAAGCCCGAACCACCACCAGTATGGCTCGCAGATGGTGTCTTCGGTCAGATACACACGGCAATTCGGGCGGGACTGGCAATTCAGCAGATGTTGGCTCAAATCTTCGGTCATGTTGACAGGAAAACTTCGTGGACAAGAGGTGCTGAGATCGCTGGGGGCCAAGCAACCATACTGAAGCGTCACAATCACCTTTACAGGTCCCTGCTGGGGATGTTCACCCTCATGCTAACAGTCCTTCATAGGGATTGTAAATGACTATAGTACCCCCCATGATAATCCCCATTGCGGACTGTTAGTTTAAGGGGGAACATGCCAAGTCCTTCTTGGAAAGCAAAACATCAGTTTTACGACGTCTGTCAACCAAACAGACGCCTGAATTCACTTAAACATTGCAGGGTCATCAGTTGGGATCTTTCCGACAGCCACATGCGTCAAAGCTGATTGGCGGCCTTGTTACACATCGCACCCTACAAAGAAGGACACCCAATTAAAGAAAGACAATCCAAAGTGATCTGAGGAACATCTGTGGCGAAGTCGGCCAAGTTGAGCGCCAAGGTCACTAGCCGATCAACAACCAGCAGAAACCAAGGACTTGGAAGAATCGACGCAAAGAACCCCATGCCACGCAAAGTTCGTATCCAATGAATTGGCCTAGTGTGGCACTGACGCAACGATGAAAGTGAGAGCTGCGCAGCATCTTCTGCTGTGAGGGTGAACTTAACGGTTATTGCAACCCCCCTGAGCCTGAAACTTCAGCAGCATGTTATGTGCATCAATCGGTAAATCTGACCGGCATTCGGCCCCCCTGAAACCGAAAAAGTCATTGGGCACTGGAAAAATCAAGGGTCTAGGGTCGTTTTGGAACCCTGGGTTGCAGGTTTGCTGAGGTTTGAACCTGTTTGATGTTTGCTGTGATGGAAGCTTCTGGAAACGCAGGCGCCTGCAGCACGCAAATCCGGCACCCAGGCTCGTTTTCGCAATGTTGGAAGCGGAAGGGTATATCATGTTGTACTGAATACTCACGGAAGAAGACACAAACGACATTTATGGGAAAGGATGTGCCCCTTTAAAGACCTTCAAGCCAACATGAAAGCAGAATCCTTGAACCTTTGGGGATTGGGTTTTGACGTTCAAGGTCTGTCCTGACAAGTCCTGATAAACATGGACTTGCGAAGATGATTCATTGCTGTCAGGACCCTTCAGGGCTTACTAGTGCTTCGGGCTTGCGGGCGCTCAATAAACTTCTCCACCCCGTCAACAACATCTGCTCCAGGCGGCCTACGCCGCTAATTTTTGTGTCTGGAATACCCCAAAAAAACGTGCCCTTAAGAGAACATGCTACCTAAGCGACGCTACCTTTTTTGAGTCGCATCGTCTGCCCATCGCTTCTCAACTGAAGCGACTATCGAGCTCAAGACCCACGCATCGTGAAAACTGGGGTTTAGTCCCCGAGACTTCTGACTTAATGAAGGCATCTGATCAGTAATTGATCAAGCGCAAAACGCAAAGAAAACTCAGAACAGACCAAGCAGCCCTGACACCTACATCTGAGGCCGGCGCGAGATCAGAAAGGCAACTAGAAAGAAACCAGTCAGAGCAAGAAGGCTCGCACGTGCAATAGGAGGCACATGTGAGGGATGCCGAGCAGTCAGCAGAGTTGCAACTGCAAGCCTCTTGACTGGGGAGTATGGTTTGAGGGGAAAAATGGGGACTCCCGAAGGCTGAGATTGTTAAAGGCTTAGGGGGTTGCCCGCATCGACCCGCATCTGTGGATCGATGAGCCGAGGCTCCATGACCCAAAAAGGGGCCGGAGTTCAAACTCAAACATTACACCATCGAAGACCCCAAACAGAATTCATCGAATCATACCGGTTCAAGTTGGAATTTGTTGGAACCCAATGGCTTCCCTTACAAATTTTGTTAAATTATATGGGTTTTTAGTATTCTCTCTTGGTGATGTGACCGCTTAGGGAATGAGTGAACAGAACCCCAAAATTCGTGCACCAGTTTACAATAGTATTATTATGGGGGTCTTTTCACCCTCATTTTCGGCTGTTACCTTCACGACTCAACAGATTAACTCCTAAAGACAGAGGTTAAGGTGTCAAAACAGTGGGCTTTTGGGAACAACAGATCAAGATTAACCGTTCACACCCTTGGAATCGCATGCCACGTTAACCGTATTAAAGGCTGAGTTCGTACCACTGAGTGAATCCTAGACCAAACAAAGGCTAACGGATCACCAAGCCAGTCAAGAGGTACACCATAACCGCGGTGAAGCATGAATACAACTACGCAGAGAATATTCGAACAAGCGACCGAATAAAAGAATGAAGTGAGTTCGCGAGATTATAATATGAACGAAGTGCACCTGTCATCTAATGCGTGACGAGAACAGTAATAATACTATGAATGAAGCATTATAAGTTAACGCATGAATGCTGCATTCGTACATTATTACGTGAACGAAACCACGAAATGAAGGATATACCATTACAAGAACTGTATGGTTAATCTATAGCTCTTCATATGGGTACTTCCTCGGCTATCTTCCTATCTTTTGCTTGTTTCCTTATATTTTCCTTCTTGATCGGTCTGACGCTGCACCCGCTACTCTTTTGGTAGCTTCTGTACGCTTGCACGCCAGCGGCAAGGCGCGAAACACAACAAAATCCAGAGCGTTTAATGCGTCAGCTGGACAAGCAGACTCAACCTGGAACACTTGCACTTGCCTGCGGCCGCTGTGGTGCGCAGTGAGACACTGATCAGCGCTAAGGGTCAGAACGTTGAGTGGAGTCAAACTGCAGCGCCAATCTTGTCGAAGTGTGTGGCAGCGATACGACCCTTGATCGCTGACGCGGTACCCGCTACTCTTTCGGTAGCGACTTCTATACCCCTGCATGCCAGCGGAACGGCTCGAAAGCAAAACAGGACCCAGACTGTCTACATCGTCAGCTGGACACTCGGAGGCTTAGCGTAGAAAACGTGCGTTCACAGTGAGACACTGCTCAGCGCCAAGGGTCACAACGCGGTCACAGCGCGGTCACAACACGGTCACAACACGGTCACAACGCGGTCACAACACCCTTACAACACGGTCACAACGTCACAACACGGTCACAATGCGGTCACAACGCGGTCACTACGCGGTCACTACGCGGTCACAACGCGGTCACTACGCGGTCACAACGCGGTTACAACGGACACAACGCGGTCACAACGCACAACGCGGTCACAACGCGGTCACAACGAACAACGCGGTCACAGCGGTCACAACGCGCCCAACGCGGACACAACGCAGTCACAACACGACGCGGACACAACGCGGTCACAACGCGGTCACAACACAACGCGGTCACAATGCAATTACAACGCGATTACAACGCGGTCACAACGCGGTCACAACACGGTCATGCAGTCACAACGCAGTCACAACACCGCGCTGCTGTTGCTGCTGCTGCTGCTCTTTCAAGCAAAGATTGACACATTAAATCATTCTTGGCTCATATTTCGTCATTCTCAATATTATTGAAAATAATAGATTTATTTGTTGTGTCATTTTTGCAATGGAGTAACTGCACGCGCACGCGCACGAGCACGCGCACACACACACACACACACACACACACTTTTTGTTTTAGTGCTCCACTGGGACCTGTAGTGGATGCTGTTCCGGAAATGGATATGCTCGAACAGTAGACAAACTCGTGAGTGATGAAATAGAAAGGTCGCGAATGAAGCGTTATGTGATATATCACCCTACACACACGAAAAGAGTGCGTTAACATGCTCTGCTTACATGCTCTCAAGACGTCAACATGCTCAGACGTGAAAACATGCTCAATCATGTGCGCTCTGGACGTTGACATGCTCTGACATGAAGACATGTTCAAGCACTCATGTTTGGCAAAACCCACTGACATCACTGTGACATGTTGGAATGCACATCACTTCAATTGTTCATGACATGCTCCGAACGTTCCCGAACCTGCTTGATGTTCTCGTCCGTGCTCATGCATGATCCATCCGCATGCTCATGCAGGTATGCTCATGAAAGTATGCTCTGCTGCGACACTACCGCGACTCAACAAACTGCACCACCGAACATCCAATTTTTTTTTTGGACTGACGCCTCTTTACTACATCAGTAGCACAGTAGGCCGGTCTTGTTGGGCTCGACGTAAAGGGTGAAACAAAGTCAGCGCACACAATCCGCCAGACACACCAAGCAACCACCAAGCCAACAAACACCAAAGAAACAAAGCGAGCAATCGCGCTGAACTACTAGATACCCCACGGACTCAGTACTCGAAGTCGTCAATGAAGTCCCGGTTCACAAGGAAGCACAGAGCTTGTGGGGGAATCGCAAATTGCGACATTGCCAGATTCTCAAAACCACCATCATGTAGCCACTGGTGCGACAGCGGTTATTCAAACCGAGGTCATCAGAAGAGGTTCGGATCACGTACTCGTTGTCAAGGACAGACAACCGACACTCAATGGCGAAAGGATGTTGCAAGTCAGACTCCCTAGGGGTGATGAAAGATGTGCATATGCCCCATGGTGGTCAGCCAGTGGGGACTTAACAGCAAGAACAATCAAGGCAAGACCGGCCCAGGGCACTCCATGGTGGTCAGCCAGTGGAGTAGCTCCGAGCTCTGGGTGCTCCATTCACCTTGGCGTACAAGTGCCCACCCAGAGAGGTGTCCGCGCCCGGCACAGGGGGCATATGCCCCATGGAGGTCAGCCAGTGGGGACTTTAACAGCAAGAACAATCAAGGCAAGACCGGCCCAGGGCACTCCATGGTGGTCAGCCAGTGGAGTAGCTCCGAGCTCTGGGTGCTCCATTCACCTTGGCGTACAAGTGCCCACCCAGAGAGGTGTCCGCGCCCGGCACAGGGGGCATATGCCATATGCCCCATGGAGGTCAGCCAGTGGGGACTTAACAGCAAGAACAATCAAAGCAGGACCGGCCCAGGGCACTCCATGGTGGTCAGCCAGTGGAGTAGCTCCGAGCACAGAATTCTCCAGTCAACCTGGCGTACAAGTGCCCACCAGAGAGGTGCCCGCGCACGGCCAGAGGGGGGGCGAGAGTAGCTGCAGCTACCGAT